CAGTCAAATAATATTACGCAGTAAAATTTGGGTAAAGAGTTTTAAATATAACTATGTTCTTTCATATCCTTTTGTAATCTTACCACCTAAATAAATTCCCCTGTCAGCATTGTTTGTAAAACAGTGATGCTGTACTCACTAACAATGTCATAAAACAGTGATGCTGTGCTCACTAACAATGTCATAAAACAGTGATGCTGTACCCACTAACAATGTCATAAACCAGTGATGCTGTGCTCCCTAACAAGTCATAAAACAGCGATGCTGTGCTCACTAAAAAGTCATAAAACAGTGATGCTGTGCTCACTAACAATGTCATAAAAAAGTGATGATGTGCTCACTAACAATGTCATAAAACTGTGTTTGAAAGAAGTTTCACAATTCATGACTATTGTTTATCATGTTTATTCATGTTTTAGATAAAGTTGTGGAATCTTTATGTAACATACATATGCAAATTAAGAATTTGATCTAATCTTTATTAAATTTGATGCTCACATTCACATTTATACTGATAAAATATCATATCACATATATACATCTTTATGTTTTTATCCAAACATTTTGAGATCTATTGGATCACAACATAAATATCCACGAAATATTTACAGTTTATATCACAACATTTCTTATTTTCCTTAACTAATACATAAAAAACATGATTGTCGTTCTTCACAGACGCTAGACATGGGATCACATGTACGATTAGAACTGAGTATTTTACTTCAAAAAGGTGTCTCTGAACCTGTCCAAATGAGTATAACTGTGAATACGGTTTTAGTAGTACTGAGAACAGGGTTTTAGTGGTACTGAGAACAGGGTTTTAGTAGTACTGAGAATAGGGTTTTAGTGGTACTGAGAACAGGGTTTTAGTAGTACTGAGAATAGAGTTTTAGTAAAACTGAGGACAGGGTTTTAGTGGTACTGAGATCAGGGTTTTAGTAGTACTGAGAACAGGGTTTAAGTGGTACTGGGAACAGGTTTTTAGTAGTACTGAGAACAGGGTTTTAGTGGTACTGAGAACAGGATTTAAGTAGTACTGAGAACAGGGTTTAGAAGTACTGAGAACAGGGTTTAGTAGTACTGAGGTCAGGGTTTTAGTGGTACTGAGAACAGGGTTTTAGTAGTACTGAGAACGGGGTTTTAGTGGTACTGAGAACAGGGTTTAAGTAGTACTGAGAACAGGATTTAGTAGTACTGAGGACAGGGTTGTAGTAGGACAGGGTTTTAGTAGTACTGAGGACAGGGTTTTAGTAGTACTGAGAACAGGGTTTTAGTGGTACTGAGAACAGGGTTTTAGTAGTACTGAGGACAGGGTTTTAGCAGTACTGAGAACAGGGTTTAGTAGTACTGAGAATAGGATTTTAGTGGTATTGAGAATAGGATTTTAGTAGTACTGAGAACAGGGTTTTAGTAGTACTGAGAACAGGGTTTAGTAGTATTGAGGACAGGGTTTTAGTAGTACTGAGAACAGGGTTTAGTAGTACTAAGAACAGGGTTTTAGTGGTACTGAGAACAGGGTTTTAGTGGTACTGAGAACAGGGTTTTAGTGGTACTGAGAATAGAGTTTTAGTAAAACTGAGGACAGGGTTTTAGTAGTACTGAGGATATGGTTGTGGACAGTTAGTCGGTTAACCAGTTACTTGGTAGGAAGACCATACTAGTTACAAAATTAAATAACTACTCAGACATTACCCCATAGGAAACTACATGTTGACCTGAGTTATACCTGCCATTTAAACCATCAACGAGCAGGTGAACACTTATAAATACAGTAAAAACCAGGGGCGGGTCCAGGTGAGGGCGTAATGGGCGTACGCCGCCCCCCCCCCCCCCCTTTCAAAAAAACCCCCAAAAATACTTTTGTAATCTGCTAATATTGTATTGAATATGGCAATTTATCATATTCATTAATAAAATACACACCGATAAAAAATGTCAAACCCTGACACTTTAACTATAAAATATACATGCTCCAAGTCAGGAACCGTTACATTAGTGCATTTCACAATTATTTTATGTTTTTTAGGGAAAAAAGGTCCAATTTTTTTTGGGATTCTACGCCCCCTCTTTCAAATATCCTAGAAATGCCCCTGAAAACAGTGACTGGCCCATGGGCAGCTGTAAATTCGTTATTGCACTCAATAGGAAAGATATGATTCTAGCGCAAACTAATGTCTGGACATTTTTTCAAAGGGGCAAAGGTGTGAAATGTAGTCTTTGCGAGGTAGAACTCACAATTAAAATTTAGATGAGCAATATGCCATGTCACCTGAAGAACAAACATTTCTAAAGTAACTGTAGAACCCAAGGAAAGGTACATTTTAACAGATGCTGTGTTGTGTAGGGGATGAAATAATTACCTACCTTTGAGTAAACTATCATGCTCATTAGTATATACAAATAAATATGCATTAAAATATATTTTTAAGAATGCTTTTGGTAAAAATAAGCCATTTGTTGTTTATTGTTCAATTATCAAATGAACTGATTAGCTGGTTATTCAGTTGAAAGATTTTTCGAGTAACCCGTTTCTAAAATTCAACTGGTCTGATAACCCTAAATGAGACATCAATTAAATTTCTAAGACACACACCTGAAATAGTACCAAAGACCTGTAGAACTAAACACTTTTCAATCTCTTGTGCTTTGGCATGTTGGATAGGCATAGTACGTAGGTATACATAATCATGCAACAAATAAATTGAATCGAATATTGCAGACATGGTACAAGTAAATGATCAGGGTCTGTTTGTTGCTTTGGATAATGTAGTAGCCAGAAATAATTGGAAAATATTTTTCACTGTCAAATTACATTTTTTTTTTATCTTTCATGTTAATGAACTTTTCATATTACTACTATGGTAAATCATGTTAATGAACTTTTCATATTACTACTATGGTAAATTTCTTGCTTTTAATATGAACTGTTATTTTTTTTGACAGGTCATGGAACATCCCATGCCATAGTAGCAATATTGACAGTAAAACAAAAAAGTGACTGGTACCTGTTCTAGCCAAGAAAGAAATTGTTACAAGAAAGTCAGTTGATTATAATGTGTTGCATTTCTGATGTCAAGTTGTTTGTGTGATAAATAAAAATCTAATATATATCTGCAAAAAATGTTTTGGTTTTATTTCCTGCAAAGATCTTGAAGTAAAAATAACAACAATGCAGATGTTACAGTAGTCGGTGAAAGCCAGGATTATTTTGATACATAGGTAAATGTTATCTCAAAACCTGAAAAAGACGTTACGCCGCGACGCCGTCAAAAGTCTCACACTTCAGAAAACCCAGTGGAGGGAGATCTCCCACACTGGACTCATTTGAGGTTGGCAACCCTGGAAATACTGGTTTCTGAATGCATCTAAAACATCTTAAAATGTGATGTTATTTATATATATTGCACTTTTCTCTGTCAACTTAAACAACCTAACACAAATCAATCAAAAAATGAGTATAACCTTGTACTTTGATATTTCTCCCTAGACATCATAAATATCAAGTATGACATTCATATTTGATATTTCTCTCTAGACATCACAAATATCAAGTACAACATTCATATTTGATATTTCTCCTTAGACATCACAAATATCAAGTACAACATTCATATTTGATATTTTTCCCCAGATATCACAAATATCATATACTACATTCATCTTTGATAAAATTCTCCCCAGATATCACAAATATCAAGTACAACATTCATATTTGATATTTCTGCCTAGACATCACAAATATCAAGTATGACATTCATCTTTGATATTTCTCCCTAGAAATCACAAATATCAAGTACAAAATTCATCTTTGATATTTCTCCCTAGACATAACAACTATCAAGTACAACATTCATCTTTGATATTTCTCCCTAGACATCACAAATATCAAGTATGACATTCATCTTTGAGATTTCTCCCTAGAAATCACAATTATCAAGTACAACATTCATATTTGATATTTCTCCCTAGACATCACGGATATCAAGTATGACATTCATCTTTGAGATTTCTCCCTAGAAATCACAATTATCAAGTACAACATTCATATTTGATATTTCTCCCTAGACATCACAACTTTCAAGTATGACATTCATCTTTGAGATTTCTCCCTAGACATCACGAATATCAAGTACAACATTCATATTTGATATTTCTTCCTAGACATCACAAATATCAAGTACAACGTTCCATCTTTGATATTTCTCCCTAGACATCACAAATATCAAGTACAACATTTATCTTTGATATTTCTCCCTAAACATCACAAATATCAAGTACAACATTCATCTTTGATATTTCTCCCTAGACATCACAAATATCATATACTACATTCATCGTTGATATTTCTCCCTAGACATCACAAATATCAAGTATGATATTCATCTTTGATATTTCTCCCTAGACATCACAACTATCAAGTATGACATTCATCTTTGAGATTTCTCCCTAGAAATCACAATTATCAAGTACAACATTCATATTTGATATTTCTGCCTAGACATCACAAATATCAAGTATGACATTCATCTTTGATATTTCTCCATAGACATCACAAATATCAAGTATGACATTCATCTTTGAGATTTCTCTCTAGACATCACAACTATCAAGTACAACATTCATCTTTGATATTTCTCCCTAGACATCACAAATATCAAGTACAACATTCATATTTGATATTGCTCCCTAGACATCACAAATATCAAGGACAACGTCCATCTTTGAGGTTTTCTCCCTAGACATCACAAATATCAAGTACAACGTCCATCTTTGAGTTTTTCTCCCTAGACATCACAAATATCAAGTACAACATTCATATTTTATATTTCTCCCTAGAAATCACAAATATCAAGTACAACATTCATCTTTGATATTTCTCCCTAGACATCACAAATATCAAGTACAACATTCATATTTGATATTTCTCACTAGACATCACAAATATCAAGTACAACGTCCCTCTTTGATATTTCTCCCTAGACATCACAATTATCAAGTATGACATTCATCTTTGAGATTTCTCTCTAGACATCACAACTATCAAGTACAACATTCATATTTGATATTGCTCCCTAGACATCACAAATATCAAGTACAACGTCCCTCTTTGATATTTCTCCCTAGACATCACAACTATCAAGTATGACATTCATCTTTGAGATTTCTCTCTAGACATCACAACTATCAAGTACAACATTCATATTTGATATTTCTCCCTAGACATCACAAATATCAAGTACAACGTCCATCTTTGAGTTTTCTCCCTAGACATCACAAATATCAAGTACAACTTCCATCTCTGATATTTCTCCCTAGACATCATGAATATCAAGAATACTCCTCTATGTTGGTTTGTAACATCCTGCGAGTTAAGTCTAGTTTGTGATAGAACTTGAGTACATCGGGGTTTGCACGCACACATCCTCTGTCAAAGTCCAGCACTCGCAGTCCCTCCAGACTCTTGGCACGTGACAACGCTACATAGGCCTGGCCTGATTCAAACACCTTGGAGACTGTGATCTCCACACAGTCCAATGTCATCCCCTGTTAAATAAATCACAAACATATCTTAGAGATATAAATTTCAAATCCAAATTTAAAGGAAAATGAAATCCTTCCTTCAGGTGCCAAGTAGTTCAAAAGATTGTTATGATCGTCCAAAAAAAAATATCTTAATAATTGTTTACAAAAACATCAGTATTTGAGTGCTATATGTGTGATGTTGTATCAACTTCTACAGGTTTTCTCACTCACAATTCATTGGATAAATCTGCTTGGCCTTGGTAAACATTTTTTGTCAATTATGATATCATATTTTAATGCTTTGTCAATCATTGTGACGTCATGATTCATGGCAACTGTTTACGACCATTGGAAACAGAAATAATGCATTTCTAAGGGAAACATGTGGTTTTCCAGATCAAATATGAATGTTATGAGAGAAAAAAGGATCCCCAAACTCGTGAATTTGATACGTAGAAGTTCCCCAGCAAGTGATGATTGGTTATCATGTTCATGTGACTCTCATAACCTTCAAATTGTATAAATTAACTAACTTGAGTTAGATAAACATGATAACCAATCATTACTCGCTGGGGAACTTCTACGTATCAGATAACACAATCCAAATATCTGTGAGAGCTAAGACTGACCTGACTCTTGTGTATGGAGATTGCCCAGGCCAGTTTGAGGGGAATCTGTCTCCGTGTCAGGTAGACTGCCCCTGCAGCTTTAAATGTCCACCGTGCAGGTTTGATGACCTCCTCAAGTCCAGACAGAAATTTCACGATTGGTAAACCTATTAATATGAAAGTACAAGTGCAATCGAGAAATGCTTAAGCTCACAATGCAATAAAATACTAATTAAGTTTCAAACAGTTATTGTTATAACAATTTTGAGATAATATAGGTCACAAATTAAGGATGTACATGTACTCCTATTTTTGTCTTATATGGAATTTTGGAAAAAGGAGAATATGAGAAAATACAAAGAAAATTGTATGTCTGTGTGCGACTTTGGGTAAAATTGATCATTTTGACCGTATGAAGACCAAATTCATACAATACCTTTCAAGTGTGCCATCAGAAATTTCCGAATGTTTGCACAATTGATAAATTTTTATTTCTTCTAAATTATGTTAGAAAAATTACTTTAATCTATATTTTTATCTCTAAAACGCACTTTATGTTACCCCTACTCCCATTTTTAAGTGCAAAAATATTCTTTATTTTTTTTGCAGATGTAACTAGGATTGATATAAAAAAGTTTTGGTATTAAACTTTTACTTTATATTCAATGGATCAAAAGAAAAATGTATTTATCTTCCTAAAACAGTAAAAAAAAATGTGTGTGTGTGGGGGTTCTGTGTGCTTATATTTTTGCTATATTTTTTTTGGTTACTTTTTCACCTTTTGCGGTATAAAACACCAACAGTGCTTCAGAAGACATAAATCAGTAATACCAATATTGTACAATTTTACACTTTCATAATATTGAACATTTAAAACTTGCACAGCAAAAGTGAACTTATTATAATTAAAAATGGTGATACAATGACACTTTTAGTGATAGATATGTCAAAAAAGGTGGAATTTTAGCATTGCATTCAGCGCAAGAAATATACATTTTTGAGATATTCAAAATGGCCGCCTAATTGGTCATTTTTCAGCTCACCGAAGGGCCAAGTGAGCATATGGCATGGTGCGGAGTCCGTTGTCCGTCCGTCCGGCGTCAACTTTTTACTTTAAACAACTTCTTCTCAGTAACCAAATGCCTAGGGTGATGATATTTGACCAGAAGCATGCTGGGATGAAGGGCTACCAAGTTTGTTCAAATAAAAGACCTTCATCTATTTTCAAGGTCACGAGGTTCAAATATGTTAAAATCTTTAAACATCTTCTTCTGAATAACCAAGAGGCCTAGGGTAATGATAGTTGGCCAGTAACATGGTGGGACTACCCTCTGTAGAAACAGAAAATCTTATATATACCTGATATACAAATACAAGGGGTATTCTATGTTTTCTCCAGAAACCATAAATATCATATGCATATATCAAGGCACAAAGCATATCCCTTGTATATGAATTACCTTCGCCTCCCTTCTCAAAACCAGTGACCAGCCCTCTGGCTCCATTGACTAGGCCTCGATGTACCTCCAGATTCTTGGCTAGCATCACCTGTGTCGAAATGGGAGAATTGGCAAAAATAGCAATAACACTGTTAAGTTATCAACGATAATTGTGTTGACAAAAACAAGAAAAAATTGACCCAAAAACTTATCCTGAAGAAATATTCTTACATTAAGGCTGCAATTTATTGGAAACTATTGCAATTCTATGTCCGACAATTAATTCTTTGTTAGATTGGAATTCGAAGAACCAGTACCGGGTAGTGTCTAACAGAGTTCAAAGATGAAAGATTATTTTTTGTTTATACCAGAAGAGATTAAAATTTAAAATAATGGTTTTGCAAAGCCAAAAGGTGATACCTGTGTGCCCACCCTGAGCTCCAGTTTGTGCGGGACAGGACACAGGCTGTCTATTTGTTTGGCGTAGGATGTGTCATTGTCTGTAGATAAAAATACCTTCGACGTGGCTGGAAAACAAAACCAAACTTAATCATTTCCTCAATTTTCCCCAATACTCTGATGACAGGTATTATCTTGACAAGAAACCCCTGGTTTGTAAATTAATCAGGTACATTTGTTCTGTTTCTAAATTTTACAACAGATTTAATTTCACAAATTTTGCATGTAAATTTTGTACCTGGTACAACAATTCAAAAAACAGGCCACAGTTACCTTGCAAATGTTTAACATTTTGGTAAATAAAATTAAAAACAACACATGGATACATAGTGAAATTGTTCTCAATCATTTGGTATGAAATGGATGCATTTATAAAAAAAAAGTCAAAGTAAGTCAGGTTGTATCTAGAGCACACAGTGCAGAATTTACCAAAACATTCCTGAAAATATACACATGTCCCTGGTCTTGCTTTGCTGGAAAGGGAGCTAAACCCAAATTCCAAAAAAATGAATTAAATAAAACACAAAATTATCCGAGGTCAGTGAAGAAACCATTAGGGTTTCACTGACCTACATTGGATATCATGATGAAGCACTCCTCAAGATATTTCCATATATGAAGTTTGATGACAGAGATTTGCAGTTTTAATTTTACATTTATTCCCCCTGTGGTAGGGAAACACGATTATTTGTTTCTCTGATATTAATCATGTGTAAAGAGGATGAAACCTGAGTGAAACATGATTAATCGAGGAAAAACAAATAATGTAGTTTCCAAACCAGAAGGGAAATAAATATTTTATTATGCTGAATAATAGTAACAACGATTAGGTTGATGTGTCATTGATTCAAAACTGCTTCAGGGAATTGCATCCCTGCCGCCTTGGTGAAAGGCGATGGTGTGTTAACCACTGAGCCATCCAACCACTGACTAGACATTAAGTTTCGATCTTTTATAATGAAAAGATTTTTATGCAATTTTGTCAATCATATAGTAAAAATCATAAGAATATAATGACTTTCAATGCATATTTTACATTGTATAAATTTGACACTTTGATTTCAATGATCACAGATTACACTGATTAAGGAAATTGTAATCAATAATCAGAATCAGAAAGGGCAAACTGATCGATATTTGATTATAAGCAATTATCGGCCCTCACTAATCGTTACAACCCACAAACCCCACCATTGAGCTTCTCCATCTGGTACTTGTTGATCTGGTCCACATCCTCCTTGTGTGTACAAAGTCGTGTTGCTAGGATACCATCCTTCTGAATGTTATGTTTCGCTGTTGCTCGAAGTGTTGTTTCAACAATGTCAGGACATCTGTATCAAATATACATTGAACTGTATAAACATTGCACACATTCGCTTTGTTAAAAAAAAACTAGAACGTGAATTAAAAGCAAATTTGTAGCTATTTAAGAAACATCATCACAAGCCTCAATAAGAGACTTACCTGCCGAGTCTGACGTTCTGTAGGATGTTGATGAAGTGGTTGTCTGATTGTCTTTTCACCTCTGTCAGCTCCATGTTCAACTGGACACACTTTGGCCATGTCTTTGCCTGTAACAAATGTTGTCAAGGTAACCGTCCCATAAATGTGTTTTACACATTGAGTAAGTAAGCATGCAGATATCAACATGTGAATATTTATTTACAGATGATATGTTTTACAGCAATTGCCAATATGACATTATCCAAACCACGTTCAGGTAAAAATATCCAAATCGAGATCAGCTTAGACTTCAGCAAACACTTCCACATGTGAAAATTTCTATTTTTAAAGTACTTAAAGTACTAATATTTGTGTGTGTGTAACCTATTATGTGTTTTACAATAATAATTTAGTGTCCTTACACCTAGAACATTGATAATGTCTTTACCTCCCCTGATACTATTGACTATTTTACATCATAATGTTGTGAGATAGACATTAAAACTTACCGCCTGAAGATGGCAACAAGGCTATAGGATAATGATGAAAGTGAGTCTGTCACCAATGACACCTGTCTATACTATGATAATGATGAAAGTGATTCTGTTACTCACAGTACCTGTCTATAGGGTAATGATGAAATTGAGTCTGTTACTCACAGTACCTGTCTATAGGGTAATGATGAAAGTGACTCTGTCACCAATGACACCTGTCTATACTATGATAATGATGAAATTGAGTCTGTTACTCACAGTACCTGTCTATAGGATAATGATGAAAGTGAGTCTGTCACCCATGATACCTGTCTATAGGATAATGATGAAAGTGAGTCTGTCACCCATGATACCTGTCTATAGGATAATGATGAAAGTGGGTCTGTCACCCATGATACCTGTCTATAGGGTAATGATGAAAGTGAGTCTGTCGCCAATGATACCTGTCTATAGGATAATGATAAAAGTGAGTCTGTCACCCATGATACCTGTCTATAGGATAATGATAAACATGAGTTGGTCACCAATGATACCTGTCTATAGGATAATGATAAAAGTGAGTCTGTCACCCATGATACCTGTCTATAGGATAATGATGAAAGTGAGTCTGTCACCCATGATACCTGTCTATAGGATAATGATAAACATGAGTTGGTCACCCATGGCACCTTGGATAATGATGCAAATGAGTCTAATAAACCCCCACATTAAAACCTGTCTGCATGAAAAATTACCTGGAAACAAAACTTCCTTTTATCTGAGCCCTTGGTAACAGGTGGCAACTGTAGAAAATCGCCACATAGAATCAGCTGTATTCCTCCAAAGGGAAGATCATTCTGCTTTACTACTCTGTCAAAAATAAACCATGAGGATATGCATGTGAAACAACTTTTGTATGCAAAAATAGGACCCCCTGATGTGCATGATGGTGCCAAATTTTCCAGATGCTAGAAAGTAAGGGTAGCCCGATAGTCATAGACTAGTGAAATCTCCAGCTGGACTAGTGGTTTTAAAAACCGCTAACCAGAATGACTAGTCAAAATTTGGTATTGCTTATCGTGTTGAATACAAATGGCTTTGTAAAATTTGCACATGGATGAGTAAAAATTGGAAACTACTTAGTATCGTATCTAGCATCTATGATTCACAAGAACAAACGAAAACCATATCTAGTATCTACCTGTCACAAGAACACATACAAACCATATCTAGTATCTACCTGTCACAACAACACATAAAAACCATATCTAGTATATACTTGTCACAGGAACACATACAAACCATATCTAGTACATACCTATCACAAGAACACATACAAACCATATCTAGTATCTACCTGTCACAAGAACACATACAAACCATATCTATATCTACCTGTCACAGGAACACATACAAACCATATCTAGTTTATACCTGTCACAAGAACACATACAAACCATATCTAGTATATACCTGTCACAAGAACACATACAAACATTATCTAGTATATATATCTACCTGTCACAAGAACACATATACACAGTATCTAGTATCTACCTGTCACAAGAACACATACAAACCATATCTAGTATCTACCTGTCACAAGAACACATACAAATCATATAATACTAAGTAGCACTACCCCAATAGACTAGTTGTATTCAAAACTCACTTCTAGACATGATGCAGCTTATATATTGTTATACATGTATATCTCAAACATAGATATTATGAGATGTTAATTACAACACGTAGGTAATACATATTTCTAAAGAAAGTGTATCAACTATCAATTTTTCCAGACATGCATATCTTTCAATCAGGCAAGGGAGATTGTCCAGATAGGTTCAATCCTGACTGATTGCATTTGATTATCAACAATTTTAATCTACATAATTCTTGACCTAATTTTCACCATGACCATAGCAAACAGACCTTGCTACGGTTTCCAATTTATCAAAGAAGTCACCCTCCACCATGGATATTTCGTCAATGATGAGATGTTGACATTTCTTCCATTGCTGTATGACAAGTGGCCGTGAAGCCAGCTCCACGCACTGCTGAAGATCTGCACGGCCGGAGCCTATACCTGTAGGTTAACACAGGGTCATACAGCTAATTATCAAAATAAATCAGATTTGGAATGTAGAGAAATGAGAAGAACTAAAATTTTACTTTGAACATGTCCATCCAACTATCTTGTCAGTTGCTGGGTATTTAGTCACTTTCATAGTTTCAGGAACTTATAGTATGACATTGTCGTAACAACATTCAGGTCAAATGTTCAACTTCTTACCTGCAAAGGAATGCAGAGTTATTCCCCCTATGTGGCAAGCGGCTACACCTGTACTGGCTGTTGCATAAGTGTGTTGGGGTGGCAAAGCACCTGTCCATGAAATTAAAGACATTTTTGAATATAGTTAATGTAAATCTAATTAAAGCATACGATCCATTGATATGGAATAAATTTAAAGCATTCTTTAACATTAACCTAGTATTTGGTATCAGTGGATTCAAGAAAATTAAATTGTATGAAAAATATATACTGGTATTAATTAATGCTTAGATAAGTTTTTATAAACATTACACTTACATGTGTTTATGAAGCTATCCCACTGAATTTAAGTTAAATTTTAAAAAATCAACCTCACTATGTTTGAAACTTCAAGGTAACATCAACATAATGAAAGTGTATTTATAAAAAGAGAGTAGTTTGTTTTTTATTAAACTATATGTATACAAAACACATGCACGAGTACAAAGATACAAATACCTTATTGTTTATATAAAATCTTTCACAATGACATGTTGATATAAGTTATACAACGGTGGATGATTATAATATTACCAATAATTCTCCGCAGTAGGAAGGATTTGCCTGTCCCAGCACTGCCTGTAAAGAACACATTCTTCCTACTGATGATGGCATCCAGTACAGACGTTTGTCCCTTGTTCAGCTTGACTGGGTTCAGCACAGGTTTAAAAGGGCTACAGCTGGTGGACACGAGTTTACGAGCCATTTTCACGCCCTGGGGTAGAACATTTTCTTTTTCATCATTTTCTCTTTTTCGCTTCCCTTTTCCCTTTGGTGTGAACATGTCCGATTTGTTTTCAACATTTTTCGCTCTCATTTCATGAACTGTCTGAAGGTCTTTCAGAGTAAGTGGACTTATGTCCTCAAATGTTTTTGGCCTATCTGACAACAAACGCTTCCGATCATGAACAGGTGGTTTTTGTTTATGACATTCAAGTTTGGTGTGCATGGTTTTGAGAAACATAATGAGTTTATCTGGCGGACAATTTGATAGCAAAAATTGTATGTTCCTGTCAGGAATTTTAATGGTTGCTTTACCCTCTTTGACAAACTTCTTGAAGATTGTTAATTCTTTCAATGCAAACTTCATGTCTCGTTTAGGGAATTCAAGTTTCAGTACAACATCTCTGAATTCATTCCTGCCAAGTGTTAGAGCAATGTTTTTATGCTGAGTACGTTTCTGTATGTCACCTGCTGATCCAATAGTCTCCATCCACAATGTACACAACAGCGTGTTTAGCTCCATCTTGTATTGTTGTACAGCTATATTTGACAGCAGAGGGGAAAGAATAAATCAAATGATAATGTTATAATTTAATTCTGATGTGTTTGAAATTTTATCAAAACTTATACATGTAACAATAAATATTAATAAGTTTATTTTCTCTTTTATCACTTTACAGTATTTTAGCCACTAACTAAAAACATTTTTAACCTTTTTATTATTCTTTATGTAGAAAAATACAAATATAAAAAAAAAGATAATACTAAAACAACTAAAACACAGAGAGGTCAGCAAGGGCCTTGCCATGTTTTTTGGTTTCTTTCCGCGTACCCTTTAGTATAATCACATACTCTATAATTCCGTGTTATAATAATGTATCATAAATACCAGTATTTCTACCGTTTGTTTTTTTAATTTTAGATTTTTGGGTTAATTTGACAGACTTTCAGAGTTTCATATCCCCTTACCTCGATTTAAAATACAATGTAGGAAAAGTCTCGAAAGTTTGGGTACAATTTAGCACCTATTATTTTGGTGATAAACCCTCATTTGGGGCTTCAATTCTGGGAACACTGATCATGAATACATGTTTGAAATTATAAATTACAGCAGATATAGGCCTAGTATGTTGTACGGTAATTATGAAATTGAAGAGTGGATTTCTCTTTAGTTACATTTCATGCCATCCATCTGCTGAGACTATTATATGACGTTTAATCCATATAATTATAACAATCTGTACATAAAAAAACACTTTTTATAGCATTAGTGGTATTTTTATATACCGATTGTATTTAATTGTATTGATTAGATGTCAGACTCTTGTATATCAATAAACAGGCTTCTGGAATTTTATCAATGATTTGACGACAGTCCTAATAGTAACGTAATAATCAGGTCGGGGAAAACCTCTAACTTGCGTATAATACGCAAACGCGCTTATTATACACCAATAGGGGTATGGATTTGTTACTAAAAATAGCCAAAATCACTTTAATCTTAACTTTTTCAAATTGTTTGTCCAAGTCGCATTATTCAGTCATGAAACATAATACAAATACAAAAATAAACTTTATTTGCATGTGGGAAAGTACCAAAAATAGATGCAATATTTCCGGTAAAGTTACATCAAGTTTCTTATAAGTAGCCAACGCTTTCAGTAAACATCTTGTAGCAAAATATGATTTACCTTGTCGTAAATTAATGCGATTTTGAATAATATCTTGCAAAAGTTACTCTTAAAGCGATTTGGGTTATTTTTAGTAACAAACCCATACTCTAACTGGCGTATATAAATAATAGGTGAGTTTTCGTATTATACGCAAATTTGAATACCCGTCCCCCTCTGTGATCACAGGGGTTCGTTACAAATGTCTAATACGCTATACAGCACACATATTCGCATGTATTTTTAGGTGTGCTGTGTCCCATATCAATAAAGCATATGTGTATTAGACATTTGTAACGAGCCGCTGTGTTGTGATCAAAGTCAAATGTAAACAATAATCCTGACAGTTACAGTACACCGGTCACCCGATCGTGATAAACAATAATTAATGCGTATTGACGTACATTTGCTGCCTTCTAGTTTAGTTGTGACACAATAATTGAAGTATACGTCAGACTCTTGTCAGACAAATGCTCATTGAAGCAAATTTATAAACCGGGGTACCTGTTTCAAACCTTGCAATCAGCTGATGCGAATTGTCATCTTTAAAATTAGTGCCAGATCGATTACGAGGCTCTTCTACATATGGACCATTGAAAACCGTCGTAACATGTTTTAGCCAATGAGAATCAGTGGTACATTTAAGAGACTGTCATGGCTTCCGATTGCTAAAAATATCCTAAGGTAGTTTTGATAAACATAGAATTTGGGGTTCTTCTTTTCTAAAATGGACTGGTAACGGTACAGACTTTACCTTTCACAAGTTGGGATGAATCACAGGCGATTGGCCCAAAAAACCCTCGACCCATACCATTTCGCTCCTTTTTGTTCACATCGGCCCAGTTTACGGTACATTTCGCCCCAAGTTTGACAACCGAAGTTTTCTTCTCGCCTCAAACCGTTTTGCCCCAAAGGCTACATGTAAATGCTGAATGACTTGTCCTGTCCACTGTTTTTTTTGTTATGTTTAAATGTGCTTTAAATTTTTTCTGTTTAAGTTCATTGTTTGTTTTTATCAGCCTTTTGTCCTCTGATGATATGTGCTGAGTAGTCCGAATTATTCTAACGTTTTATCGCGATCGACTTTTATATATCGGTCTGTCGTCGATTATCGTCGTTAATCGACGACAGACCGATATAAAAAAAGTCGATAAAACGTCAGAATAATTCGGACTATGTGCTGTCATGAGGTGCTTTGATACGCACTGCCTTGTTTATATTTTTGTGTTATATTTTGCTACATTCTAGTTTTAACTTATTTGATTTTTTTGCTCTCTTCTATGGCCAGAGGACCTGGTAGGTAGGGGATTCCCGATCACCTGTCCTCTTTCACATAAGAAATCAGGATCTTAACAGACTCAATTGTAATTCACAAATATTTAAATTTTTGATCATTATTTAGAAATTGTAACTGAACTTTTTTTTTACTCCGTCATATTCCAATATCTTAATCAATATAAACTCATAGTGTCATGTTTTTGATGAATATCTGATTTTAGTTAAATAAGGTCTTATTTTTGTGTGTGTGTTTTTATGAGCTTGTTTTTCTTATACTTTTATTTCAATTTGTTTTGCTTTTGTTTCTTAATGCATGTTTTGTTACTTTATGCCTATACTGTGATATTTTTATATGTTCTGTCGTAAGAATAGCTCTTCAGAGCTAATGTTTCTTGTTACACGTATACATTTACAACAAAAATAATGTTTCTTGTATCTTGTGTGTAATACATTGTACATGATGTATATCGCCCCAAAAGCTCTATTATACTTCAAACACGTGATATTCTTTCCTCATGGATATCCTACAAGAGTTGGCTTGCGAATTTAGGATTTAGGCCTACCTTTTCCCTTTTTATGTTTTTATATATATTTACTTTTTTTTTAACAAATGCCCATGTTTGTGAATTAAATTACAGCGCCACTACCAGGTAAGTTTATATCCGGGGTATAAGGATACAGAATGAGACATTGAGTCTGCTCTTAAAAAAGTTGCATTGTCTTAATTAACCTTGCTGTTCAGTTGACTAGCAATTTCCCTCTGCATAGTTATGTATTCTATGATTATTAAAATTTGTTCTAAAATATATGCATTTCAAGACAAGAAAGCATGGCAGAGTCTGGTCTTCCAATGACACAGTTGTTTTTAGTTTGATTTTTAATGACCATATACATGTATATGTAAGTAAACTACTGCAACACACCTTTGCTAAAATGCTCCAGTATGATCTATTAGTACACGTGTGTGACAACAATATGTCAATAATTGTATTCACACGTACTTCAGAGATAAAGGTTCTGATACAAAGACATAAATTGACTCGCAGGAAGAAACTGACATGAGACCAGAAGACATATATATATATATATATATATGTATAGCGCATGGAATGCACACTGAATGATGTTTTTTGTGTTAGCCTGCCTCACATGTACATATCACATGCTTACACCAATTCATAAATGTGAAGTCGTAACGCTCTGTGGAGTAAAGAATGAAAATAAACAATTTTTAGCTCACCTGGCACGAAGTGTCAAGTGAGCTTATGCCGTGGTGCGGCGTCCGTCGTCCGTCCGTCCGTCTGTCCGTCCGGCGTCAATATTTTACTTTTAACGACTTCTTCTTAATAACCGAAAGGCCTAGGGTGATGATATTTGGCCAGAAGCAAACTGGGATGAAGGGCTACCAAGTTTGTTCAAATAAATGACCTTCATCTATTTTCAAGGTCACGGGGGTCAAATATGTTAAAAACTTTAAACAACTTCTTCTCAATAACCAAACTACCCAGGGAGATGATATTTGGTCAGTAGCATGCTAGGGTGAAGGGCTAC